GAGAGAAAAAATTTTAAGAGCTTTGAAGATGGAGGAAAGGGGACCATGAGCTAAGGAATGCAGAAAGCTTCTATAAATTGGAAAAGCAAGAAAACGAATTCTGCCCTAGAGTTTCCAGAAAGAATGCAACCCAAATGACTCATTTTAGACTTCTGATCTCTAGAACTTAAAATAATATCTTTGTGTTGTTTTAAGCCATTAAGTTTATAAGTCATTTGTTACAATAGCAAAAAGAAACTAATGCAGATTTTCATATCTGTAAGTAGGGTGTTACTTAACCAGTAGTAAAAAATGTAAAAATAACTTTGAAATTAGACAATAGGCAGAGGCTGAAAGAATTTTGAGCATGATAGAAAAAGCTCTTGTTTCCTGGAATAGACTGTCGGCAGCAACAGGAAATGAATACATTATACATGGCATATTCTCTCCTGAAACAGGGTCTGTTACCAATGCTTCATGCTAACAGTTTCAATAGGGCAAGGAACAAGGAATCCCAAGCTTAGCTTAGGGAAAAAAGTGAATTTGAGATTTCTTAAAAATGAATAGATGCGATTTTATTATGTATGTACAGCACTTGGTCTTCCTAGGTAGTCTCCCATCCAAGTACGAACCAGACCCGACCCTGCTTAGCTTCCGAGGTCAGACAGGTTCGGGCATGTTCAAGGTGGCATGGCTGTAGACCTAAATAAATATGGTTTTAAAAGAGAATGTGAACAGGTTATTTGGGGACTTGAGCACTTGGATCCCCCCTTTCTTGGTCTCCTCTCCTTCCAGACCATCCACTTCAAACTGCCTGGCATTAGAGAGCCTGCTACTCAGTAAACTATACGGTAATGTCTCATTGGTTTACTCTCCACTCCCTTTTGGCCCCTTGGCATCCACTGCAATATGAGATTTACTCCCAACTGGCAATCAAGGCTGCAGACTGGAGAAGAGGAGAAGAGGCAGGGAGGGCTGTTGGACCTGGCACGAGGGTCAGTGAGTTCCATAAACAGAGGCTAACAAGTTATCTGCTGACTGATGTATCAGGGCACTTTGGAAAATATTACTTGAAGCTTCGTAGGAATCCCTCAGCCTGAATCAGGGACACTGGACCAGTTCAAAATACGGAAGCAGAATCACTTCTCTTCCTCTCCAGGTCTAGCTGGTAGAAATTGAAGTTTTCTAAGAGACATACTCCCAGATCTTAGAATCTAGGTTCTACTGGATTCCTACCGTAATGCATTATCATCCTTATTTTATTGATGAAGACTCAGAATACCCAACCTACCCTAAGCGACAGAATGATTCAGTGCCAATTCTGGGATTAGAACCCAAGTGTCCTTCTTGCCTGCCAAGGTTCTCTCCAGTACCTCATGCTGCCAAAGGTACTGCCTGGTCCAGCCTGACCCAGTGGCCAACTCCCCACCAGGTTGGGAAGGTGAGTACCATGCAGAATTTATCCAATAGGGCAATATATCTGCTTTTCTTAGTGGAGAAACTGTACCCAAGTGGGTCAGATGTCTTAGAGATAGATCAAGTGCCATGCAAGGGAGTACAGACTTTCAGTAGACATTGAGGAAAAAGAGACCTATCTATCTAAATGGATGATCCTGGCCCCCTGAAACTGGGATAGGGGGATAGTGATGGAGAAAGGTACATTCTACTTTCTGGGAAGTTGATCCCTTAAAGTGTGGGTTGAAGAAGAAACTTCTGTATGTTAGGTCATAGGTCCTTCTCCTCTATCTACAACATTCAACATTTCACCCTGCTTTGCTCATTCTTTTCCAGTGCTGCCTCTTAGTCTCCCTATTCAAGCCCTCATCATCTCTTGCTTAGACCATGGCAGTAACCTCTCCCCTGTCCTTACTTATCCAGGTCTGCGTGAAGCCAATAAGTTACATTTCCTGAAACTCGCCTCTGAACCTCTGAGCATGTTAGGTCCTTCTTCAGTGGACCAATATTTTCAGCATCTCCTTTTAACCTGTGAAGCTGAATACTAACTCGCCAAATTGGCATTACGATCCTTTATTCAACCTTCCTTTCTAGACTTCCCCATCACTTGACATAGACATAGAGCCCAATTCCCATCTGATTGGTTTTTCTTCCCGTTTGATGTACATGTTATCATAATTTTTACCTTTAGGTACTTGCTTCCACTCTTCTTTCTCATTTCTTTAATGATCTTATAACTTTTTTAGAGAAAAACCTCATCATCCCTCAAGGATAGAGTCATATCCTCTTTATGAAATACTAATCTAACCATCTTACTGATGTTCATTTAAGTCTTTCCCTGATTTCCCAATATCTGCAATATCTATACTATGCCAAGTTGAAGGATTATTGAAGGAAAAGAGATTGAGGGTGGGTACTCTAGTTAGGGGGCAGTCACAATATATTATGGGAGCGATTATAGGCTGGGCTCAGAATCTATGAGAAAAGAAATAGGGGTGGGGTTCTTGCTAAACAGGTGACAAGGGTAGTTGGCATCTGAGCAGGTGGTGTCTGGGACTTGAGGGGTAGTGGTGGAATGCCCGACTGGGTCTTGCCGTAAAGATTCTTCTGTAAGCGCTCAGGTGAGCACATCCAGTGGAAAAGACCAGGGCAATCCACATTCTCACTCTTTCAGAACATGATCCTTACCCTCTGAAACCACACTCCTCCCTCATCCCCTGATACGCAGCCATTTAATTTCCCTTGAGAAAACACAAAAAGTCAGGTTTTGTAAAAAAATATATATATTGTCCAATAGTTACATCATATACATTTCCACAATAACATTTTTGGCATTAATGTGGGACATTAATGATTTTTGTAAGAACCATCGTACCATCTTGAGGTGGAATTTGAGTTCACAGAAGAAAGCAATTAGTTTAAGTCTTCATATCTAAAACATACCAGTATTCGTGGAAGATAAAAATTAAAACATCAATAACTTAAATAAGATTAGCATTACTTAAGGCATCATGTTTCTCATCAATAAACAAAGTTCACACTCTTTGAAAATATAATAAAATAATGTCAGAGGACATTTAGTGAAAGCCAGAAGAAAATAAATTAGGTTCAGATTCTTGGGTTGTGGAGTGAGTGTTCAAGGCTTTGGAGTTTGGGTTTTCTCGTCTAGGTGCTTCATGGAATCCTGGACCCACTTCTCCTTGGGGTCAGCACAGACTTCCTTGGTCAGTTTGGTCTTGAAGCTGTGGGAAGAGTGGGGCACAGTTAGATGGAGTTCTGTTGAGATTTCAGCCTAGCAGTGCAGCTCACTCTACCCTAAGGAGCTGCCATGAGAACTAGAGGAGGAAGGAAGGAACCCAGGGCAACCTGCTCCTACAGATGTCTCAGTTGAAACTTCAGGCTAAAGAAATTCGTATGGTCTGAATCAGCACTCAGATAGAGAGTGATGTTGGGAGTCACTTGATCTCCCGTGGCCTCAGTTTTCCCACTGGGCATCTTTGGATATTGGATTAGATGGTGTAACTTTCTGACTATAAGATTGTGAAGCTTCTTTTTTTTTCTGAGGAAGAACTGGACCAGCGGGGAATTTGGTGCTCAACTTACATCACAGCTTCTTTGGGACACTTGCTGCTGGTGATTGTTCTGTAGCTCTGTAGCCTCTGCTTCGGGATCTTCTTACTGGTGAAGTTATAGCAGCAGGTGATTGGAGAACTAATTCCATCTAGAAAAAGAACAAAGGAAAAAGCATTTAGTATGAGGTGTTCTGCCTATACCTCAGAGCTGTAATGATATACTGACTCAGTTTCCTGTTCTGTAAAATGGGTATACAGTGTTGATAACAAATCGCAGGAAGGGGTAGCTGTGAAAACTACCTTACTCCTGGAAGTGTCATTAGAAAGAGCTAATAATCCAAATTATCAGGGTTAGGGAAAATCAGTTTGAGGACCCCAGTTATGGGTCCCCCTTTAGGCTCCAAGTAATCTATGCTTGTTGATGAGTTTCCCTGATACCCACTGCCTCTGCTGAGCCATACCTCTGGAAGCTGGACTCAAGAAGCACAGTCCAGATCCTGGGTCTCCTCCTCTCCCTCCACTGTATCTGGAAATACCCTGCACACCTGCCACCAGAGGCCCCCTCTCTTTGATGACCCCAGTCTCCTAACACTGCTGAAAGGAGCTGGGCAGTAACTGCACTGAAGGTGTGTTTCCAGAGCTGGAGTCCTAGAAGGAGCTGGATTTGGATTTCTCACCCAGGCTCTGCCCAGGAGCAGCTGTGTGATCAGGATCACTCTATTCTTCTCTGAGTTTCCTGACTTTGTAAAAGCATTTGTTAAAGTGAGGCTGTGGGTATGCCTTCTGCTCTAATGGCCTATGATAACCCCAAGATGGGGTGATGTGCTTCAAAGGGAAATAAGGAAGAGGTTTACCTGGCTGAGCAAGCACCTGGGTGCTGAAGGCGGCCACTGTGAGCAACAGGCACAGAAGCCCTGCAGAGACCTTCATGGTGGAGGGTGAGGATGAGAGAGAGCTTCAGAGTGTGAGTTGTTGGTTTCTGAGTTTGCTTCCAGCTCTCTGCTCCTCTGGCCTCTCTGCCTGCTTTTTATTGAAAGCCAAATGGGTGGAGCAATGCTTGGCTCAAGGCGACATCCTCCTTAATGAATGACGAAGTGGAATCTTCAATGTGCTGAGCAAGTGTAGCACCGTGGGAGGTTTCCAGGAAACAGGGAAAGGAAACTGGGTTGGGACTGGGCACTTTTTCCATTCATTACTGAGGCCAAAAGTGTATGGCGTGGGGGGGCGGGGCGGGGGGGGGTGTCGGAGCACAGTTATATCTAGAGCGACCACAAACATGAACAAAGTGGATTTTTCTTAAGGGTTCCGCTTTCTCTGAAGTGAAAATTCTGCAAAAAGAAAGAACACAAGGAAGCAGAAGTCAAAGGTGAAATAAAAGCATCTCAGGATCACCTCCCGGCCCACCTTCAGATAACAGTCCAAGGGGCCTTCAAACCAGGAGGGGGCCCTGAAGTCAAAAGCATACGAAATCCATTTTTTTCTTTAAAATGCAGTTGGTAATTGAAGCTTAGCAGAACTATAGGATTTTGTAAGCATAGAATTGAATTTTAAGAATCGTTGGAATCTTGGAAGAAGCCCTGTAGTGCTGCAAAATAAATATCCACGTGACACTCATATGGTGCTTCCTCGGTGCCAGGAGTATTCTAAGCCCTTTACAAATGCTAATCTTTCAATTCTCCAACTCCATCTAGCATTGTTCATTCCTATTTTATAGACCAGACACCCGAGGCACAGAGGGGTTAAGTAACCTGCTTAAGTTTCCCGAAGCAGAACCCTGTATCTGTGTTGTCACCACTATGACATATTTCTGGATGGAATGTGCAAATGTCTTTCAACTGTCTGCCTGGTTATATATCTGTTCCCAGCATCTTCCCAAATAGCAGACACCTAAACAATAATTAAGACACATTCCTTGTGGTTAAGTCACTGCGCCTTTGGAACCTGAGGCTAGCACGGCAAGTGGCAGTGGGCAAGAATTGCGTCCTGCTATGGTGGCTGTTATCCCAGCTTCTTTCTGGATCCCCAGGGAGCGTGAGTGAGCAAAGGAACAGTATCATGGGAATTAGAATGCCTGCCTTCATGCTGCAGCTCTGCCTTAGATTTCCTCAGAGACCACAGAATCATGATAATAAAAACCCAAAAGACCTTAGAATTCATTTCAGGGAACTCTTACCTTTTACAAATCTGATAGGATTCCTTGAGGCATGTTAGTGGCTGAGCCAGTCCTGAAATTCAGGCCTCTTGAGTCCCGCATTCTATAGCTTCATGCTTCTGAGCCTTGCTTTGCCTCTGCCCAGTAGGCATGGAAGGATCTAGCGATTTTTCTTTATTAAAAGGTCATTGAGACAATGTCTATAAAAAGTGCGGAGCTTCTTGGAAGACACACCTGACAATCACTACGTTGCTAATAAGAAATGGGTTATATTGAACAAATGACTGTGTCTGGTCAGAAGTAAGTGGTCAGTAATGGTGAAGAAAAGGAATAACTGGTGTTCCTGAGGGCTTCCTGAGGGCCAGGTACTGTGCCGAGGTGCTTTCCAGCATTGTTGCGTTCGTCCTCCAAACATCTTAACTTTCTTTGGTTGAAACTGAAGTTAAGTGTGACTTGTCCAGAATCTTTCAGGTAATAGCCAGTGGGGCTGAGATTCCCTTCTGAGACACTTTGATGCCTGAACCCCCACTCTCAGACAATAGGCTTAATGGCTCATGCTGGATATTGGTTTCCTAGAGAATCCGAGAGCAAAGAATCTACAGAGAGACCATTCCAGATTCTTGGATATCGTTCCAAAAAGACAGAATGACAGACGACAAATCAACTTGCATACTGCTTTGCTTATACCTCTCTCAAAGCCTTATTTTCATTCTGCCCGAATCTTGCTCCCCACCCGCCCGTGTCGATACCTCTCTGTGTTTGGCTCAGTGCTCTCTACCAATGGCTTAATTCATTCACCTTGAATGAGTAAAATATTTTCAGGAATGAAGTCTGTGCACCTTCGTAAGTTATTCCAGACACTCTCACCTAAACTTCCAAGAAGTTTTTCCTCATATTAATGGAACCTTTCCCTAATCTATTAGTGTCCTATTCCATGGATTTAGTATTACATCCTGTTTCCCTGTGGAATGCAGGGAATCATTCTTTGGTTCCTGTCTAGATTAACCAGTTAAAGCTGTGGATCTTTGAACTGTGCGGGCCCACTTATACATTTTCCCCCCAGTAAATACTATAAATATATTTTCTCTTCTTTAAGTTTTCTTAATAACATGTTCTTTTCTCTAGCTTACTTTATTGTAAGACTATAGTTTATAATACTTATAACTTACAAAATATGTGTTCATCGACTTTATATTGTTGGTAAGGCTTACTGTCAATAGTAGGATATTAGTGGTTAAGTTTTGGGGGAGTTACAAGTTATATGTGGATTTGCATGGGAGGGGGGTGGTAACCCCAGCATTGTTAAAGCGTCCACGGTATTCTTTCCTGGTTCAGTCACATTGCTATCACTTCTAGCATCTCGGAATCAGAGGACCTGTAGGCATCATGTACTTCAACCTCCTCTTGTTACGTGAGGAAGCCATATTCTAGAGAGGAAGGCCAATCAGCCCGTGGTCACACTGAAAAGTTTACTGGCTGTTCTGAGTATTTAGACAGACTTCTGAGTATGGGAAGCTATGTCTCTACCTCAGAGAGAAATCATCATTTTTGGAAAGTGCCTTGGCCATTGCAGTGTCCAACAGTAAACAGATCAAAGGCAAAAGGGTGTGAATCAGAAGAGAAAGTCTCTGGAAAGGGATAGCCATGTCCCTCCCACTTCTGCTCTATCAAGAAGAGATGCTCTCCTCAGCTGGCAGGTCAGTCACAGTGTGGGAGAAATGAGTGGAAATTCCCTCTCTGAGGCAGCTTTGGAAGTTCCCAGATCCTGTGAAAGAAAATCTGCTTGACGGAGTCTGCATTCCAGATTCTGGGCCTGGAGCCAGGGACGTCTCATGCAGTCTGGGTTGGGCCCCTGCTCAGGGATGAAACAGTCAGGGAAAGGGCGTGGGAGGCAGAGCCAAGGTTTTGCTGCTCCCTAGAATCCCCAGTCCCCTTGGGGCCCCCTTCTTATCAAATCTTAGATGAGAAATGAAAAAGTTCTTCTTGGTGAATAATCCTTTCTTCCTTCCTCTCAGTGGGCTGCCGCACCCCCTAACCAGCATCCTACACGTGGGACTTTGTCATCGCCCAAGACTCTCACTCAGTGTTAGGGGTGAAAAAAGGGGAAACTAAGAGTGAGCTTTCTAGAAATATTAGAAGCCCACACCTCACCCTCTGCCCTGGCCCCTTCCGAAGTTCACTTGCTCCCCTTCCCCATCTAGCACAGCCTTCACCTATTTGCGGACGCTGCCCCGACCCCCACAGGCCCTTGACTGAGACCCATCAGGTCCTTTCCAGATGACGTCCCCAGGTCTTTCCTTCAGCCTCTTCTATTCTCCAGGTTAATTATGAGCTCCAAGTAGACAGAAGCCTCTTTCCCAACTCTGTAATCCTTTGCCTTTTAAAGACTAGAAATTCATTCTTTACTCTTACCCAGAGGGTCAGATATGAACAAAATCTTAGAGGTCATCTTCCTGTTTCACTGATGGGGAAACTGAAGTCAAGAAAGAGTCGGTGACAGGCCCGAGGTGACTAGTAGACACATGGAAGAGGCACATGACTAGAAAACACATGTGGTAGTTTGTTCATTTCTGGGCTCTCGGTGTAGCACCCTGTCTTACATACTGCACAGGCTCCTTACTACAACACTTATGCAGTCAGCATCTACTCTATGCAGAGCCTAAGGTAGGGGACTGGGGGGCGAGGGTCATAATTGAACTAGACATGAAGCATGCTTTCCAGAAGAGATGATAAAGTAAGATTCCATAGGAAGTAGAGCTGAGTTTATAAATAAACCTGAGCAGTGTAGTCACCCCAGGATTCTGGCATTTCCTGTGTTCTGGGATGGATGTCCCCTAGGTCTATTTGCTCGAGGCAGCCAAGGGTATGGGAGGGAGTAGTGGTAGGAATAGAGAGTTATGGGAAGTAAAAGGGAAGAATCACTTGCAATGGCCTTGGTTGGTTGGGGTAGTGAGTGGTGTTTCAGCCAAGTGAGGGCTTGTCGTTAAGGCTGTCTTCTGGGCCAGCCCTCATAGACCAGCACTGAAGCGCTATGGTGAGGGGCTTGCTGTGGGTGAGGGGGTTGAATTTGAGTAAACTGTTAGGTTAATGGCAGTGTGAGACACTCCACAGCTTCCTTGATAGACTACAGCCAAGGGTAGCAAAGAAGGGGAGAAGCCGCTTTCCTCACCTGGGGCATGTGTTGCCCAAGGTGGCCTGAGTAGTGAGATGAAGAGGTCAAGGGGACTGGTGAGCACATTTGAGGTACCTCACGAAGGCACTGAACTGGAGGCGTCTTAGGGAAACAGAGCAGGTGATGGAGACAGAGAAACACTGTTTTGACAGCCTTTCATTGAATCCTTATTATAGTACCTGTGCTGAGTCCACCTGAGAGAAACTCAAGTGACACAGAATTATTACAGTCGCGGGAGAGATGCAGAGCTCTGAGAGCCCCAGCTAAGGGGGTCAGGGAAGCCTTCATGGTGGTAAATTTAAGATGGGCTCAAGGGTTGGCAGATTTTGAACCTTGGCTGATTATTGAGTAGAGAAGGAGCTCATTTTGAAGCAAACTTATAGAGACTGCATTTTAAAGAGCTTATATATCCTCTTGGGAGTTTGTTAAAGTACAGATTCTGATTTAGCAGGTCTTTGGTGAGCCTGAGATCCTGTGTTTCTAAGCAGCTCCCAGGTGCTGCTGATGATACTGGTCCAGGGTCCCACTAGATCAACCTTAAAAGGGTTCAGCATGGGAAATGCTTGTCAGAGGTGGGAAATAGTGAGCAGTTAATTTTGTCTAGGCCAGGGTTCTTGTCTGTGGCTCTTGGCTAGGCTTCAAGAACCATTTGGAGCAGTCCTCTACATTTATGTGATTGTGGATTTTTCTGGAGAAAGGGTCTATGACCTCCATCAGATTAGCAAAGGCATTTATGACCTCCAAATAGTTCAGTACCATTGAACTTATCAAGCATGGAGAGTTTTGGTCTTTACCCCAGACTGGCTGAATCATAATCTGTAATTTTACTATGTGAAGCTATATTTTTTCTAAGCTCTCCTTCCACTCTCAGATGACTGCCAGTGTGTGTTTAGGTACCCCTGGGCTAAACCGTAGGGTACATGCGGTAAAGGCTATGCTGGCTGGGCTGGGCGGCACGGACAAGAAAAAGACACAGGCCGAAAAGAAGAAAGGAAAAGGGGAGAAAGAATAAGAGAAGAGGGGAGAGAAAGGAGAGGCAGCCTGGAATCGTAGAAAGAGCTCCAGATGATGTCAGAATACTGGGGCCAGAGGCCTAGCTCTGCCTCTAACAAGCCGTTTGGCCTTGTTCAAGTCACTTGGCTTCTCTGGGCCTCTTCTGTGAAGTGTGATTAGTAAGACAGCTGTTTTTAATATTGTCATGAGACTTGGATGAAATAATACACCAAGAGTGCTTTGTAAGCAACATGTAAACAGCTGTGTCACTCTAAGGGCCTAAGCAAGCTAGTCCCCAGGCAGTTTCAGGGTGCATGCGGCCAGTCCCAGGCAGTAGATTCGTTTACCCCCCGATGCACAGCCCAAGCCTCCACCCTTATTTCTTGCTATGAAAGTTTATTTGGCATCTATATTATATAATGCAGTGAAGTTTAGACCTTCTAAGCTTTTCCTCATCCCTGCTTTCTTGTCTGCCATGGACAGAGAAAGAGCCTTTGGAGGCTGACAAAAAATGAGGAGTCAGAGAAGGCAGCCTCAGAATTGAGTTAGGGCCTCAGCTCCTCACACAGCAGCCGGCTCTGACCCGACATCCACCTTCTGGCAGGCCTTTGTCCGCCTCTAAACTTCACGTTACCCTCATCTTCACTCTCTGCTTCTCCAACTCTCCACGCTCCATCTCCTCTCATGGCTCTTGCCAGCACTGGATCCCAGTGCCTGGTGTCTTTCGTAAAGCAGGTTCTCGATAAATATTGTTTGAATCTATGAACAGTCCAAGAATCTCAAATCATTTCCCCCACATATCTGAATTGTGAGATGGTTTAACAGTACCATTGATAGCAGACAGGGAAATGAGTAGAGAAGCAAGATTTTTGGTTTCCTGAGTTCCCCATTTCTTCTATTCGGGGAAGAGATAGTGGCAGTGCTGGAGGGATAGTGAGGTGGCACTAGCGGAGCGTGATTTTCAGGGGCCCCATGGATCCTTCTTTGCAGATGATCTGTTTCTCTCTCTTGGTTGCAAAATGTTGCATACTGAAAAAGGGAAATTTCAGCTGCCCAGAATAGCTCTTTCTGTGCTAGCTTAGTTTTTAGCTGGCTTCCTGGTGGGGCCCCAGGTTGCAAAGCACTGGCTCCATTCAAAAGCTCTTCCTGCATTTACTATAAATTAGAGCCTGAGAGAGGATCCAAATGAGAATGCAAATGGAGATGGTCTAGGGGAGGGGGAGGAGTTGGAGAAAAAGGTTTGCAAAGCACATTCATCTCTTCTGATTTAGACACAAGGACTTAAAGCATGACCAAATAATTCAACCCTACAACTTATTTATTGCTTAAAAATATAACTGGGGTAAAGAGAGAAACTTTACAAACTACTGGAGCTATTTACAATGGGGTGGGAAAGGCAGGCATGCAGGAGTTAGACATGATCAAGGGCAGAGACGTCTGTCTGAGTAGTTCACTCCTGCTTCCCAGTGTTACCACCTAGCAATAAGTACTCAACAAATATGTGATGAATGAATGGATTGGGCTGGGGGGAATCAGAACTAGAGGTGCCATAGAGATTCCAGAGTTGAAAATCCCTGCCCTGCTTAATTTAAAATGGGAAAAAGAAGGTGCCCAGAATTTTCTTGCACTCTTAAATCAGTGCAGACAAGCTGTGAGTATGCACGTGTATGTGTTGTGGGAAGTACCTAATTATACATCTTAACATTTTCCAGTGAGACTGCCAACTACGTTTTTCTCGAGGGGAAACAATGTTTTGTTTAGAAAAATCTTATCGAGGCAGTAGAAGTAGACACGCATTATAAATAAGCACTCATTGTTCTGGAGGGAGGGAAGACCTTTTGATGGCCAAAGAGAAGACTGCTTCTCCTAGCACCCCTTGGTATGCAGAGCCGGCGGACACAGGGGAAGAAATGGACCAAATAGACATTTGCTTAAGACCAAGAGACATCCTAAGGAAAGAGGAATTGAGAACCTTTCTTTTGAGTCCAAAATTATTAGACACTCTTTAAAAGTCTGAGGAGGTTATTACTGGATTGCAGTCTGAGTTTCAAGCCAGGCTGAGAAGTCAAGGGGTGAGGGCTTAGGTGGGAAGACCTTTGGGATCCTCCATACGGATGCAGCAGTCATGCTTTGAGGGCAATGGCCAAACCTGTGAGTTTAAACTGAATACACTGCAACCTTGGGAAACCAAGGTGGCATCTTGGCCAAGACTGAAGGGGGCATTATTAGAGCAAGGAACAGAGAAATATTTTGGGTGATGTGTGGTCAGTTATCTATATTTAACTTTAGAGTCAGCGACAGAAGCAATGGCAGCCAGGAGCCCTGGTCACTGATTAGTGGGTCAGATCACCCAGCTCTCACTTTGCTGGAAATTTAGCATCAGGATTTGTCAGCTGGAATGAATAGGTCCCCAAGGTTCTTGGGCACTGTGAGGAAGTTGGGAGAGGGCACTTAAGCATGAATGATTAGATTTCCTCCTAATCTAGACAACTCGGGGTGCCAGTGATTAACTGAGCATAATAAAAGAGGTCA